GCAACCACCGCGTTATCACCTGGCTATGGGATATTCTGCGACGCGACTTCACCAATGAAGAACGAAGCCTGTTTTTGAAGGTGAGCCTTTTTGCAATCATCTTTTTTTAGGAACGCATTTTCAGTATCTGAACTGTACCCTCCTCCCCTTTCTTCCAGTTTGTGACGAGTTGCTCAAAGCCCCCACTCCTCGGTTTTGCCTACTTAGAGCCACCATTCTGCATTCGATGCGTCCAGTACACCAACGAGGACCAGGTAGGTGACCACTGTTCCGCCTCCCACTGGGGAATCTAGTGTTTTGCCATATTTTTTTATTCGGCGTTGCCTTTGCTTCAGCTCTAAATCAACCTGCGTTTCGTCATTTTTATTGAGTGATCTCTTAAAACCTTTCATGTCCTGTTTCCCCGAGGGCGTAATGCGCTCTAGCCCCTCCTTGTCAATCTCTATACTATTTGATTTACCTTTGAAATTCTTTGCAATAGGTGGAGTTAGTAGACCATCGTGTTATTTGACCAACTCAGCCGTCCAAATACAAAATATTGCTAACGTAAAATAGTCAATAAGGTTGCATGCCACATTATTTGGCTATAACGTCAAAGAACTTATTTTTTGGCCAGATGTCCACTCAAATTCACACTTTTTGCTTACCACTGACCGTTCCTTTAATTGATCTCTTCTGGTTTGTTCTTTTTTACGTGAAGGTTCGCCTTTAAGAGATTTTTTGTCCATTAAAACCTAGTGATTTTGAAGAGCGTTTATGTATCTTGAGTTGACCAAAATATAATCATCCTGGACGATATGTAAGATGTTTTGCAGACTAACGCCTGCAAGACCTGGCAGATTTTACGCTTATTCCAGAAATTCGAAGGGCTCATTACTACCGTTTACTAACGCTGTCTCTTCGTTAGCAGTACTACATGCACTTACATTTTCCAGCGTACAGAATCCTGTATAATCTAAAAAAAGCGTCAATGTGTGCCCGGCTTCATCAGGTTTGTGTAGTTTCTCAACTGTCATTTTGCAGCCCTGTCGGCTGCAGCGAGCACCAACTTTCGGACATTGATAATTTGGCTGCCGTGCTCGATGACTATTTTCGTTACCTTGGAGCATGATCCAGCATTGACCTTGTCTCCCTGACACTCAACATGTTTCCCTCATACAAAGGATAGATAAACTCGTTACCACTTTGTCTTCTGGCTGGATTTGACACTGCGTCCGGTGCTGCGCAATCACTTGGCTGCTCCAGCACGTGAGCTTGGAATAGTACCGTTGTACAGACATTGATCTCTGTTGTAACTAATCCTCTGTACATATCTTGATGCTAACATTAGTCCAAGTCTTCATTTCGTGGTTCTGTCTTTGTTATACTGGTCAGGATGTCGGAGATACGCTGGGTTCGGTGCTTAAAGGCTTCTTCGGTTTTGGAAGTCGCCGTGGTGAAGAACAGGCTCGTTTACCCTCAGCCTCTACTTGTTTCAATTTGCTAAAATTACCCAACTACGCTTCGCGATCAGTGCTGCGCGACAAGCTGCGCTACGCCATAAACAGTAACTCGGGATTCGAACTCTCCTGACTTCAGTCTTAGGCTTCCCCGCCCGAAACACACTTCTATTGGGGATTAGGGCGATACAGAGCCCCGCTCCCTGGCCTACAAGACTGTCAAAGCGTTCTGCGCTGCTTTCACTGCCTGTCTACCAGAAACCGTCCGCATGCATATTGACCATAATTTGGATTTTATTTCTGTTTTTGTGCAGGTTATTTTGATCATTTATTATTCGTGTAAGGGAGTCCAAAACATTGATTTTGTCCGACTTCTTTGTCTGTCTTCCATACCCCGGAGAAAGAACCCCTAAAATCTGAGCTAGTCTGGTAGTTTGTTGCCTCCGGCCCAACAACTTTGTTGACAGTATGCCATTAAAGGTTTTTTGCTGTGCAGAACAGCAATCTTACTCGTTCCGATACCACAACCGTCAATTGTCCATGACTGGTTATATTTAAGACTCGATGACCTGCCTATTTCGCACATACTTTGCGCTGAAGGTTGTCGACCCGCCACTCGTAGACGCATCATGTAGACAAACATTCCGTCGACAAGCGGACCCCGTTTTCGCTGTAAACCACACTAGACGTTGTGTAATTAATTACGAGGGCCGAAACTCAAAATGCGTTGAGTCCAATGTGATGCGTGAAAACGCTCCATTGAGCACGATGTCTCTAATTTATTTTATCCATAGCAGGCAAGAAGTTTTGGTAGGGGTACCTCGTGGGGCTGCCTGGGGGGCACACGAAGCGCGCGCCTCGGTCTTACGGGCTCTTGATTTTAGGGGAGAGGACGGGTGGGGCATGTCAGGGAACGAATAAGTTCACAATAATCCTGCAAAATACAAAGTTACGAGGATAATTCGGGGCGCGTACTCAAACCTCGGGCGGGGACACCGAAGTACGTTTTAATATCATCGCTAATCCCCTACGGGACCAACGGCAAGCGCGTGTATGTAGGGGGAGTGTGCCCTGACCACGAGCGAGGTTATTGAGGGACATTTTCTAGTAGTACCACCAACCCCAACTAGAATAAAGATTAACGAATGCAGAATGTGGAATTCACTCTACTTAAAATGTGTAAGTTAGCGATTATTACCGTGGTTGAAAAGCCTTTTTTGCTTAATATACTGACTTAAGTGGTTATTGTGTACGGAGGCCTTCCGAGGACCCCTCTGTAGTTCAATGCCATTGTCCAATCCCTACTGGGTCGACGGCCGGCATGCATAAAACAGGAAGGTTGTGGGTAAGTCGACCTAGTTAAAATCTGTAAGTAGGTGGTTATAATACATAAGGACACTTATGCGACCCCATTAGGTACGCTTATCGAAATCTTGAGTGACAATCAACATACCTTCCGGTCAGGGCTATAACCTATTCAAATAATTACCGTATATGTAGCCTGGATGTAAATTTCACCCCTGAGATTACCGTCACCGTAAGCGATGGCTCGACGCTTACTATCAGTGACCGACCTTACGAAATGTTAACTGGAATTCCGAAATGCATTTACGATTGGGAAAAATAACTTAAGTGGGTTTGTAGTTTCGGTTATCGTACACCAATCCCAAGATATTTCAGACGCCAGGCCGCCAGCTTTTAAAACACCTAGACAAAATAAAAAATTACTGCTTTGGAAGTAAACATTCTTACTATTGGTTTCCCATGCCCTTATAAATTCAGATATATTTCATAGAGAAGATTCACAAAAATATCCTTAAAATTACTCGTTTTATGGTAAATCATGTCGCTTCCCCATTTTGTTATCGAAGAATTTTCATCTTTCGGTTTAAAAAGGGCTTATCAACCTCTGCATATCTTGGAACTAGATTTTCCACTGCGTTAGTGTTTACGGTTTACAGTCTACAAACTGTATACGTTCCACGTAAGGAAATTTAAACATTCCTCTAGGCCGCTAAGAGGACCCCGTGTAGGGTTCCTAACATTTTGCAATGGATGTGTAATGTGTTGCATGTCTCATAAGATGCATTAACAACGGAACAGATACAATTGTCTTTAAATGTTCCTTGTATGATAATAAGAATCTCGTAATTGCAAACTTAATTAAGACCGAAAGATGCTCTCTCCCTAAGTGCAAAAAATTGAATAAGGCGTGATTTCTTAATAAATAAGCACAAAAAGGATAATTTGCGCATTTTTATAAAATATAAAAGAATTGATTAGCACATAGAAATGCAACAGAAATATATACAGTAGTCTTCCTCATGAGAACCTATGCCACGCCGGTCATGTGACTCGCGCTCGCTGCCAACTCCGCTGGCGGCGGCAGGTTGAAGGTTTTCTGTGTCGCCACTCCCCCGCCTTAGCGCCCCATTCTGTGCGGGTGTGAGCCTTGCGCGGATGGCTTGGTAGGCGGGGTTTAACTTGATGGCTCTGCTGAGTGTGCCAGTCGACGACCAGCTTTCGAGCACTAGTCTAG